TTTTTTCTAAAGTGAACCGTTGCTGACGAGAACCTAAATTTTAGCAAGTCTGCAAAGAAACTACTTAACCTATTTTCCAGTCCTTTTACTTCTTCATCCTTTGTAGGCTGAACGTAACATATCCCCAGTCAAGGATGTCTTAGCCCAGAAAACAGCCATGGACCTGATCGCTCTGTTTCAGTAAAGTTGGACTACTTTATACACGAGTCTGAGGTTATGTAGAGGACTTCTACGAAAATCCTGTCCAACAAATTATATTGCAGGTCTATCCGTGCAAGTGAGTTCATAAATAGACCCTTTCCTCGAACTGTTGCTATAAATTTCCCCAAATCCACGAAGGGATTGAGAAAAACAAAAATTAGGGGAGAGTTGTATATTTCGATTGACCCGATTGTGAAAAATTCGCGGGCTCCGTGTGAGTCAAGCCCACACAACAGGGAAGGCTCTTGCGCAGCCAAGGTTCTACCGCTGAGCTACGAGGCTCGCCGTACGCTACGAATTTAATCACACTTGGGTCGATTTGCTTGCCCAGCTTTACTGCACGTATGGAATCCACCAATACGGACGCACTAAGCTGACTGGCAGGCAGGATGTCCTAAGTAATCACCCAGGACCCAACGGACTGTATGTCTGACTAAGTCGTCTCCAATATGTGCACCGTTTCGGTGTGATCCTAATCTTTTCAACGGCACCATTTCTGCACAAACAAGTACGTCGTGACGCTGTCTACCTAAAGAGCCGACCATAGTGGCTGAGTCCAGCATATTTCTGGCTTAAACACTTACTTCTCCAACCATAGAAGATTGGGACAAGTTTACATCCTAAATGTTGAGACGGGCGGAAATCTACGGCAGAGAGATTTGACAGTAAACAGCTGCAGCAAAACAAATTGGCCCGGTGTGATGAATATAGATTCGGATACTAAGCTTTCATACTGGATAAATTTAGACCTCATGATATGTCTAGATCGAACGATCATGTCCGGCTGCTTTTCCACGTTTTTTCCTAGGTAACATCTGGTGCGCGCACAATCTTTTCGTTTAAGGGGCGACTAATAAGATGCTATTACTATAGCATTGCGTTTAACGTCCGCTGTCTCCCAATTTGGTTCTTTACAACAATCTTCTCTCCTGAAAGGACTTCTAAACCTTAGTCTACATCCATCACAGCCAACGGTCTTGATTATAACCGACGGGCCATTACCAGAATGGGGTTGTTTTAACTGGGAGGCTGCGGAAACTAAAAAGAAATCCGATCCGCGTGGCGGCCGAAAAACAAGCACTTCTTTGAAGCAAAAATTGTCACAGATTTATTTCGAGATAAAAGTCAAAATAAAAGCTGAGAATAGCAGAGCAGTTGCCTGATGAGCGTGAGAACATCACCTCTTTGGTGGCAAACCGAAAAGCGTTGGATCGAACTGCTCCAGACTAGTGAGTCGCGTGAGGCGCGAAATCGTTTCCTGAGAAAGGGAAGAATCGGGAATTCCCTGAGGCTCCCTCTTGTCTGGCACCCAGACGACGCGCATCCCAGCCGCCAGCCCTGCAGCAACACCATTCCAGGCGTCCTCAAACACCAGGGTGTTAGATGGCTCTGCCGATGGGTCATCGAAACGTCTTAGCGCCACAAGAAATATATCAGGGGCTGGTTTGCCATGTTTAACCTGAAACGGATTGAAGAGAATGTAACACATCAAAAACTATTGGTATCTGGCGGACGAATGGCAACCTTCAGGCGAAAAGCTCGAGAATGATACCAGGAGAACACAGAAGAAATTAGACCGATAGTCTTGTGAGTTAATTTAACCCTAAAAAGGAAACTTAGCCTCTGGAGGACAAATTGGTATTCGATTGATCTTGCTGAAGTGTAAAATTGTACTAAACTGGAGCAAGAGCGAAAACAGGCCAGGTAACACACCTGTGTTCAGAAAATTCCAAAAAATGTGTAGAAAAATTAAAGGGACCGAAATACTAAGACTGAGTCTAGACAGTCGTTGCCTGTAGCGTTCTCAAATTTTACCTCCACGGTGACTAAATTCGCTTTCACCTTTGGATGTCCGTCATAAGGATAAACAATTGCCTCTTATTTTCTGTTGTTATAGTCCTAAAATGGATTTCTGTATTGTCTGAACGTTCGTGTAAATAAAACTGCATAAACCTAAATAAACAGCCGCCCTATATCGCTTAATTATCTACAACCCTAATGGTCGAATTTAATTTTAAAAAGTAGCTTACTTGTGTTTAGTTCTGAGAAAGAAGCAAAGATGGCGATAGCATCGATGAATTTACACCATAAAAGTGAAATGAGTTACAAAGGATAGTGAATAGAAGCATGAAATACAGGAACATTCATTAGAGTGCTCATGGAAATCACGAGCCGAGGGCTCAACTTTTTTTCGTTTCACACACGCGAGAGTCAAATGTGGACAAATTTTTGAAATTAAACAAAATTATTTAACAATAAACAGACAATAGAAACCAAAAACCCTGCAAATAGGTATGTTAAGAGATGCGGAGAGGCCAGGTTAGAAACTATTGACTTAATCGACGTAATTTCCAAGTTGGTTAGTGGTAGATACTTCAACCGGATTCTGTCGTTGTGGGGCCAACCGCAAAATATCAATATAACGACTGAGATATAGGTCCACATGGCCAGTCGTGAACATAAATATGGGTAATTGACAAACAGACTACTCAGTGATCTAGACGGGTTGTGGGGTGGAGTGCAGTCGCGCCTGGTATGTAAGCTATAACCTATACGCGACGAAAACCATCGGTAATTGAAAGAGGTGTATATGATAAATAGACTCGATGGCTGAAAAAATGACTTAATTTGTCTAACTTTTCAGATTCTTGCTCTTAGTTCTCATCGGAGACTATAATATACTGGTAATGCACAAACAGAACACTGCGGGAGTCCCTTCTGCATTACCAAGTGTAATGACCTCCCCACAGCCACATTAAGTTCTAAAAATTTGTTAAGGCTAAGTAATTAGTCACACGGGAGCACACAGGCAAACACTGGCATGATAATTAATCATCACTCCAAAATCCAACACGGGTGACGGAAGCTAAGCGCTTACCGACTCCAATCCAGCCTAGCAAAAGATAACTGCACCAAAGAGCAACCATGCTCGATGACGGATAATCTATTAAGTAATCATACGTATGCGATAGCATAGCAACCGCATCCTATAAATACTGCAACTCGTGTATGAATTTGCCATATCTGATGCTACCCCTAGGTATGAGTTAGAACACGAAGTTGAGACGTCGATCGAACAAATGTCTCGTTTTAACGGATATTTCTACGTCTTTTAATTGTTACCTGAGACTCGTACTTTCGCTTCTATCGGCAAAAAATACTGCCTGTAAGAACGCTTTCCGACCTCCACTGGCAAACGGACACCTTTTTGTCCAACAAACGGAGAAATTCGAGAAGTAAGACCTACGGGTGATAAAAAGAGCGTTTGAATGTTTTGATGATCCGAAGATCAACTCTCTTGCTCTAGAATGTGGATCGAAGGCGAAATGGTCATCAAAAGTAAAACTATGTAAGTTGAGATTTAGAATGAAATGTTCCAGCAAAAGCAGAAAAGAACGTAATTCATACGAATGAAAAAAATTAATTCCTCAAACACCGAATGTATGCATAGTTTCATTATCATAAGTGGCCCTTGGAAGTCAAGGCACATACTACGCCACTGTAGGTGCGAATAAGTACCAGACAAAAAGGGGGATTCGGTAATTGATAGATGCCAATTAAGAACTGGAGAGGATATAACATCCGAAAGTCAATTAGCGGGTCATTGACCAAGGCCCATAAAACCCACTAAATGGGCAGAGAACTGGATCATGGAATGGAAAGGATTCTGAGAAACGGAGCTATTATGGATGCATTCCACATATCAGAAAGCTGTACACATTTGTAATAAGATTTACCTCCGGATCGTCGCCAGAGGAAACTATGTGATGAAGTTTTGACCACACTTCTTTATTGTTGAACATTTTAGCTTCTATTTCCCACGATACTGAACCAGAAGCGACAGCCATGGGTAAGCCGTGAGAATGAAAATATTCAAATAAGGCCGCAGCCCCAGGAAGAAGTGTAGCCTTGTGCCAGGTTTCGGGAGTGATTTTAGAATGAAGTTCATCAGTCAGTTCTTGTGGACTTATTGGTAAGTCATATTCCTTTACCATGATTGCTGCTGCTTCCAACGCCTTTCGGCCCATCAATTTACGTTTTACTTCGTATGTATATGTTTTCTCATATTTTGACAGGAGCTCCGAAATCACTTCCGTGTATATTTCTTCGGTGGATATGAGCAAGCCATCCAGATCAAAAATTATGTGAGTTACAGGGTCTCCGGCACCCATGTCAAGGTCCTAAACTAATCAAGCGGTCAATGCCATTTGGTCTGCGGTGTTATCGTGTAAACATTCAGGCTAAGGCTCTGTGTTTTAATTGGCTCAAGGTTCCATGACGGTAACTTTGACTAGCGACCTGCCAACCTATTTTTGTGTGTTTAATTGGATTATTCATCATTTATTTATTCTATGATTTAAAATCGGGTTAAACTATGGCATTTAGAGGGTCGTCCACTTCAACCTACCTGTGGTCCAACTTACCGTGCCTGAGTTAGTTTATATTAGTTCGCGGCGCTAAGCGCCGCGCACACCTAAAATTACATTCCCTAAAATTAAAATGGCGAAAAAAATCATTTCGGGTTCAGAAACTGAAGAATAACATGAAACATTGGATTTTAGCCTACTCAAAATAGCCAATAGGCGCTCGCACGGCTAACATTGAGGCCGTGCACGTAGGCTCACCCTTTATATGGAGCTATTACTATTGCCCAACTTATAAGGCTTTCTGGGAATGTCTAAGGAGATGCCACTTATTTGGACAGGGCACTAAATTTACTGCAAACCCGGCCACTTCATTCATTTAATAACTTTCCGAAAATGGCTTTCAAACGGACATGACCATGACAGCGTTTCGCTTTATTAAGTCAGAGGCATAGTAAAATTTGAGCTATTGCTTTGATGGCGCTTGCTTTAACCCACAAACAATTATTTTTACCTCATACATATTGGGAGTGCATACTGGGCACCGACTTCCTTAATTTGATTACAGGCCGTAAGAAGGTATGCTATTTAATGCTCTTAGTAACTGTGATTACTAAAGTGAGAACTTGAGTTAAGGCACTTACTTCTAGCAGTAGTATCCTATTCCTCGTAGTCCAAACTTAGTCTAAAGGGGCAAAGCCTGGTGGGCAGAGTTAATAGGGGGGAAATAAAGACAAGCCCTGATGTGTGCTGGGCCTTAAACATGTACTTGCACGGAACAGCATAAGACCAGATTCCCACTCCTTGTTGAGATCAATGAAGTATGAGCCCGCATGATGATTTTTCATCAGCCTTTCCTCTAATTAATATTAGCTTCAGAAAAAGTGCCATTCCTGCTAACACTCAGGTACATTTGTAGTTATTAGTAGTAGAAAGTGTACTATCGAAATCAGTCTCGGCGTCCTCACGTCTGCCTTGACACGTACTGAAAGTGAGTGAGGGTAGGCGGTGTGGTAGTGCCCGAGCAAAGTCTGCCTTCACTTAAGAATAAAGCAGGCAGTGTTTCTGGCCTGTATTGAGTTTATTTCCCTTAAACTTGCCGTACGGTCTTGCTTACATGTTATTGTTTTAGGTGGTGACTTCAACCGCGTGAACCTACGTCCCATTATTTTGTTAGTCTTTGATGACCTTATTTCCTTGAACACACGTGCTGACGTCCCTCGTGATCTCATATTGACCAACCATCCCAAGCCTTTTTGCTGTGAAATATAGAGCTCCGTCGTCAGGCTCAGCCCCCTCTGTGTCATTGGGCCCGCTACCATCTATTCCAGTTCTAGGACCGGGCTGTTAGCAAAACCCGAGAGAAATTTTAAGGTTCACGACATGTCCCTACATAATATTTGTTTGATTCAGACTGTCATATCTGAAAATCTTCCTGCCATTCTTGAACACTCAAAAGCCGAGTCCTGCTTCAGTTACTGTACACCCTTTTTAAACAGAATGTTAACTATCTGCTGTCCTTGTGATACTATTATGTTTAGACCTGACAAAGTTTCTTCAGCCCATCTAAAAACTTCGAGACGCCAAAAGGAAATGTTCTACAAACTAGGTCTCCATGAAAGTCTAAGGTATGCAAACCTCCTAATAACACTTGAGATTTGCAGCATGAAGGACTTTTTTGTTAGTCGGCTTTTAACTTCTTCTAAGTCTTCGTCTTCTCTCTCCTCGGATGTAATTTAGAAAAGTCTTAACCGCCTAACTGGTCAACTAAATACACTAGCACATATCGATTCTGACTTTAATGTAGACATTTTAAATGTCATCTTCGTCCACACTTCCACCGACTCCTATTTTCCGACAAACTCTATTTCCTTGTTACCAAGTGTCTTTGCTCCTGTGTCTGTGGCCAGTGTGATGAAACAAAAATTTCAGGGTTCAATGGCTGCCGGAGCAGACGGAATCTCACCGTTTGTCCTAAGATATTGTTCTTTTCACTTAGCCCCTGCATTGACAAATCTCATCAACTTATCCTTCATAAGGCCTAAAATTGCCGATGATTGGCGATCAGTTAGAATCACTGCCATCCCAAAACACCCACTCCTCCTGGTCCCAAATCCTATCTTCCATTGCCTGCTCTTTTGAACTGCTAAAACTTGCCGAACGGGTTGCCTTGGACATAATTACGCCGTTTTCCTCCGATTTTTTCAGATTTTCATATGAGGCTAAGTGTAGTACACTGGACGCTGTTGCTCTGGTAGTTCAGTCTGCTCTAAGAGATTTAGATAGGGCCTGCTGTGCATACGCATGTGCGTATCTCCACTACTCCTCAGCCTTTATTAAGGTCCCGTGCCATATTCTTCTTAATAAAACTTCTGCATGCGGCTCTGCTGGCTGGGCTGTCTCTTGGCTTGGAAACTATTTAAGATCCCGCATTCAATTCGTCCAGTGCAGCAAGCGAAAATTCACGGTCCTTCCCAAAATCTGTGGAGTTCGCCAAGTGACTTCATTATGTCCTCGCCTCTTCTCTATATTCATTGACGACCTACGATCGCCAAACGACTGTTTGTTAAATATTCTGATGGCACGGTTGTTGGCCATCTTCTGAAAAGTCAGATATATCTCCAAGTACTGAAAGATGGATGGACCACGTCTCCGCATGGTCGTCAGCGAGTGGCCTTCTACTTAACGACCGGAAATTAGTCCAGTGTGTTTTTCGACTGCAACCCCTTTCCAAAACAGAAACCATTGGCAGTCTCTCCAAGAAGGTATTATCTTTCCGGTACTTTGGTGTTACTCTGGCATCTAACGTCTCCTTTATTTTTAACATTGAAGTCTTTTTTTATAAAAATTTGTCAACGATGATATTATATCTACCGCTTGCCTTCTGGTGATTTAAGGGTGCCTGCATTCTTCCCCTCATTCTGGACTGCTCTCCAGTTAATTTTCCATCTTTACTTAAAAAGGCCAGGTCATTTCTGAACTTATCCTCTGAATGCTGTATTCAGCTGCTGGGGTTTCCTGTGTTGTCTAAGCTGACATTATAATACAGCGACACCTTAAAACGCTTTTCCTTGCTCGCCGTGAATGGAGTCACTTTTTGGTGAAAATTTTGGATATAGTATTTAAAATAAAGCATTCTCTCTCTACGCTGGATCCTGTTTAGTCATCTTGAGACCGGGTGAAGGCGAAGAGTGTGGTTGGCGCTAACTACGTCCGCTATCACTTTAATCTAATCCCTGACACTGTGACCTTCTGTACCAAAATGTCGGTC